AGACCCCCCTTACCAGTCATGATAAGACTAAAGTGCCCCTATGTCTTAGATTTTTAACCTAATACAATTTTATTTCTCCTTCTTTCATTCTATCGTTTTTCTCTTTGCTCTCTCTCTCTCTCTCTCTCTCTCTCTCTCTCTCTCTCTCTCTCTCTCTCTCTCGTTGTTTCTCCTCTGTTCACGGTTTTTTTTTTTTTTTTTTTCTTTTTCCTTCTTCTTCAGATCTGTAAACCGCTGCCGCCGGAGTCGACAATATCCTTCAAACGCCGCCGGCCGAAACCCGTTGCAGGAGGCCCTCCTTTGCCGATGTTGGAGATCGTCTCCCCCCTCGTCGAACACCACCACATCGACACCTGGTACAATTGGCGGCGGCGCCTTCCCCACCTTGTCGCCGCCTCCGTCGGATTTCTACATGGAGATTTCCCTTCTCTCGACGTTGAATACCAATATATACTTATATTAATTGGTAAATTTTATTTTTTTTATTTTTCTCGAATTAATAGTCGAACTAGCAATAGAATATGTTATGGATCTGAATTTCAGTTCTATTATTTGTTTGTTATGAACGCATACATTGATTTTTAATTATTCTGGATTTTATTATTTTTTGTGTTATTCTGCATATTCTGAATGTTTAGATCTGGAAAACTCATGGAATTACGAGATTAGTCGGTTGTAGTGCAGTGTATTTTACAGAGTAGTCATGTTTAACAACTTAGTTATATTTGTCCTTTTTTTTGTAGTGCTGCATATGTTCAACATTCAACAGTGTAGTCATATTTAACACATAAGATCAAACGGAAGATTAAGTGCGGTCGGTGCAACCGAGTTGGATACCGCAACAAAAAAACATGTTCGATGGCCATTGTTGAAAGATCACATTAGTTATTTTTTGCATTTTTTTTTCTTTTTGCAATGTATTTTACTATTAATATTGCAAGTTTTTTCAAGTGCTGATTACTTGTAGTCACATTACGTAGAACCTAGTCACATAATAGTCATATTCTCACTGTCCTGTTCAGTCATTGTTATACAAACCGTAGTCACATAATAGTCATATTCTCGCTGTTTTGGTTGAGAATCATGCTTCTACTGTCTGTTAATTATAATGTTTTACAAAGCACAATCACATTCACATAATATTCATATTCTTACTGTTATCTAAATAATTATGCTTCTACAATATGTTAATTACACTGTTATACACAGCGTAGTCACATAATAGCCATATTCAACTATAGTCATATTCAGAGTTGTAAATCTGTCGAGATTTTTTTTTTTAATTTTTTGTTTAAAAAAAATTAAAAAAATATATATTTTTTATTAGAAAAAATATTAAAAAAAATAAAAATAAATAAAAAATGGCTAAAAAAATCGAAATAATAAAAAATAAAAAAAAATAAAAAAAAAATCATATTTTTTTTTGATTTGGTAGCAAATTTTTAGGAATTTGGAAGCAGATTTTTAGGAATTAGATTATTGTTATGGAAAGAGAGAAAAAAGGAATAAATGAGACTAATTATGCTAATTGACATAAGGGTATAATTGGAAATACAAATTCTAGGGGTTTATCACAAAGAAAGATTTAAGGGGTGGACATATCACCATTTATTATCTATACGAGGGGTTTATTGCTAATGACCCCATATATATATATATATATATATATTCATAGGCTCTCGTCAACTCAAACGAAAAAAAGATGGAGATTAGGAAAAACCCAGTCGAAAGTATGGGCAGAATCACAGTTTCTGTTCTAGTATTAGGGTTACTGCTGTTAATGCACGCTCCTAACTTCGCAACTGCCGCCTCCGGTGGACGGATGGGCGGCAGTTTCTTCTCATCGGACGAGTCGCCGCCGCCGCCACCATCAATTTCATCAGATTCCATTCGCCGCCGGAATTACGCCCCACCGGCAAAAACCGATTATTCTGTTCCTCCACCGAATTATAATTATTACCCTTCAGCACCCCCGGAACCCTACGATTCCGTTCCTCCGGTTTACGCCCCTCCACGAAAAACCTATTATTCTGCTCCGCCTCCAAAAACCTATAATTCTGCTCCGCCGCCAAAAACCGATAATTCGGCTCCGCCGGCAAAAACCCATTATTCTTCTGTTCATCAGACTTATAATTATTACCCTCCAGAACCCTACTTTTCAGATTGCTATGATTCAGAACCCTATTTTTCAACTCGCCGGAATTACGCACCGGCTGCAAAGACCTATAACTCGGCTTGCCGGAATAATGCCCGCCCTGCAGATAACGATGGTTCTTCCGATCACAACAAAACCTTTAATTCTTCTTCGGGTGGCGATAATATTAAATCGGATGCCGAAGTTTTAGTTATTTTTACTATCCTTTTAGCGTCAGTTATTGTTTTCGTGTTAATTTGTGTGCATGCTAAGAGTATTGGGCTACAACTTGCTGAACTAGCAACTAGGGTTAAGCACCACTTATGGCCTCCTCATAAAACAACTGTGCTTAAGCTCCAGGTAACTTGCTTGTTAATTTTTATTTTAGGGTAAATTATGACCACACCCCTGAAGTAAGGTCGAATTACAAAACAAAACCTTCATGATTGGGTAATTACAACCCTTAAGCGGTGTTAAATTTACTAGAATCTTCTAGATTATGTGGAATATTCTCCGGTTTGTACCCGTTTTACCCCATTCGAGCTCCACATTTTGAAACAAGATGATCATAGGATGTACGTGTCTATTGTCTTGTAAATATCAGATTGTGGTGCATCAGAAATTACTTTTTTGCACAAAACGAGTTCAAACTAGAGAACATTCCACGGTATCTAGAAGATTCTGTTGAATTAATTGACACCATAAGGGTGGACGTGTAGGAAGATTCATAGTTGAGGGGTGGTTGTAATAATTACCCAAACATAAGAGTTTTTTTCGTAATTTAACCATACCCAGGGGTGGCCCGTAATTAATTACACTTTTATTTAATTATGTTTCTTTTTTGTCTATTTTTCTTTTTTTTTTTTGAAGTGTCATTACAACTTTGTGTATTGGTGTTTATGTTTGTTTAAGGTTGGGCTACTAGACTTGGGGAAATCAGTTCAGAGGGAACTTGATGGAATTGCAGAAACTGCAGATACATCCACCCTAAAGGGTTTACACTACATATTGACTGGTAACATATATACTCTTTTATTTTATTTTATATTATATTTTTTTATTCTTTTGTAAAAATCGAAACCAACGAACAATTTCATTTCGGTTGCAGAGACAATGGTAGCTTTGCTTCGGCATGCCGATTGTTGCGTCTTCACCTATTCATCTGTAAGTCAAAAAAGGAATCTTGATCCTTTTCCTTTCAATATATGTATATATATATATACATATATATTCAATTTTATTATAGCTAGAAATTCTTTGAAGTTAATCTCATTAATCACATGCAGGCTGATGTAAAGAGGAGCAAATTAGAAGGGGAAAATAGATTTAATCAGCTCTCTATCGCAGAACGTAGTAAGTTCGATAAGGAGACGCTTGTCAACGTAAACAACATTAGAAAGAATCAAAGCTCAAAGGTAAGGCTCCAATCTTGGTTTTGTAATTATATTGCTTATGTTTTTTTTAAAGAATAAATTTATATTGTAAGACTTAATGAATATATATGCATTATACGGTCGACATATCAATTCAATATGCATTAAAAAATCTATCAATATTGATTTTGCCAGAAAACGAAATCGTATTACAAAATTACCATCCGCACGAAAAAAAGCTACTATTAGGACTATAAGTTAATGTTTACATTGTTTGTTTATCGTGTATGTAAAGACGGGCATAGAAGAAGAAGGTCGTCGTATATTTCACGCGGAGACACGTGTATATGTGGACAGCATACAAAAACAAAGCAAGAAATCAAATCGTTTCAGCAACGAGTACATAGTGGTAAGACTAAATTTTAAGTGTATAGATGGTGAATAAATTTTTATTTTAACTAGTTATAGTTCATGACATAACGAATTTTCAGATCACGATTTTGGCGGCTGTTCGAGGAGCATACAAAATACCTCGTATAAAAAACAATAAAGATTTGAAAGAAGCTTTAACAAAGCTGGCATCTATGCCATTAACTAGTATTATGGTAAGCATCTTCACTAATTCTCTAGGGTTTCAATTTTTTTTTTTTTTTTTTTTTTTTACATTCCATCCGATTGTCTCATTCTGTATGTGTATACGTATCTAAATGCAGGCAGTCGAGGTGTTGTGGACCCCACAAGAAGAAGACGAGACTCTATCGGAACTAGAACTGCGCCAAGATTACCCCTTACTAAGGCCTCTAAAAGATGGTATTTCGTTTGCGGAGATGCATAAATTTGTCCGTAAAATACAGAAGAAAATGAGCTTCAACAGCAAACAGAACAAGGACTGAGATCATTAAATTACCTAGCAATAATAGTTTCTTAATCTTTAAATTAATAGTTTTTTTTTTTTTTTTATTTAATAACTAGTATATAATGTTTGGGACAAAATTATATTTACTTACCTGTATATTTTCTTTCTCAAATATATTGAGCAATTTATTCTCAATTGTAATCAACTCAATTTTACCTAGCAATATCATTTACAATTTTTTTTTTTACTATTCCATTTGAAATAAATATTTCGTTTCATGCATATCTATTTAATATTTGGTCCTTACATATAAAGATGATACATTTAATTTCTATTTAGTCAATTTTATCAAATAAAAGAAAATAAAAATAATAAACCCTAATGAAGGAACAATCTGTAATGAAGGAATTCTCCCTCCCTTTGATCTGGCCAATTTGGCCTATTATATCCCTTTGCCTAAAAAAAAAAAATAATAGAAAATAAAAAAACCCTAAACCAAAATATTAGGTTGAAACAAAATTTAATTCCGATATATACTTTACTTAAACCCTAAAACAAATTTTGTTAGTAATAATAATATAATTCACGTGTTCGTTTTTTCTCACCTATGAATTGATACTATCATACTATTTAGTCAATGGCCGCCCAAAGTTTTCTTGTACAAAATCTTGTCCTACAACAGCGTAGCCACCCCCACTTATTCCACCACCACCACCACCACCGCCGCCACCCTCCTCCTCCTCAATTCCGGCCGTCTCAAACCGTTAACTTAAAAAACATCCCAACAAAAACTTTCAAAAATCTCATCGTCGAATCCTTTTCGCTAAACAACAACAATGTCAATCGAAGAAGCAACAACGGCGATTCCAATCAAGATATTAACTACAAGATTAAATTTCCAAATTTGGAAACTAAACAAAACCCTAAACGGGCGGTCGAAGCGGTGTCCGAAACCCTAATAAACGCCGTCAAAGCACTGCGAAAACCGGCCGCAGCAGCAGCTGCTGTGATTCTACTAGGGTTACTGCTGTCCGTAAACCCTAATAATAATCACGCACTCGCAGCCAGTGGAAATTCTTCGTCACGCTATTCATCGTCAACCTCCTTAGCGGCACCACCACCATCGTCACCTCCAAGTACATACGATGTTATGAAGTTTATTGTTGTTAGTCTTATGTTTTTAGTCTTGGTCGGTGCTGCGTATGTTTGGGTCGAAGTTTGGTGTTACATTAATAAGGAGAGTGTAACCGTGGTTAAACTGCAGGTATCGGTCGTTTTTCTACCCAATTTAAGTTTATGATTTATACTGTAGAATCTCGAAATGAATATCCGATAAACTAAACTAATAATAATTTCTTTCGGTCTCGACTCAGTAAAACACTTACTGAATTTTTAGCTCGATAAATTTAGTATTTCGCTAAATTAATAAAATTTTGCTAGTCTCGACTATATTCATTTATAGAGGTTTAACTGTGGTCTGTGCATGTATATACTATTTTTACTTTACTTTTTTTTTTAGCTTTATATATTTTCTGCTACTATTAAGTCTTGATGCATTATAAATATTTTTCTTTCTTGTGTGATTTATGGTGTTTGAACTAATATATATATATATATATATATATATATATATATATATATATATATATATATATATATATATATATATATATATATATATATATATATATATATATATATATATATATGCATTTAGTGAAAACTTTTAATATTTTCACGATTGAGACGTCACTAATGCCAATTTTTTTTATTGTAGTGTGTCATTAAATTCTAATATTGGTGTCGCGGTCCAGTAAATGTAAATGCGAGAGGGATATTATAACATTTAAGCAAATATTTCATTTAAATGTGATTTCGTTAAAATATTCTTTAAAATATTTATTCTTCTTTCTTTTTCGTTCTTGCCATTACCGTTCCTTATTTTTTTCGTTGCATTACTTACAACTTCGTATGTCGTTAATTATCTTTGTACAAGGTTGGGTTATTAGGGTTAGGGAGATCGCTCCAGAAGGATATTAACCGGATTGCCGAACCTGTAGATGTATCCACCTCCGAGGGCTTACACTACATATTGACCGGTAACACTTTCTGACCACTTTATTTTTGTCCGATAAAAAACGTACCATTTAAAATGGCAGATTTGGAGAATTTTTTTTTTTTGGGTTGCAGAATTGGTTGTGGCATTGCTTCGATATCCTGAGAATTGCGCCTCCGCCTTTTTAACAGTGAGTTCTAAATTTGTTGATCCTATGAATAGTTTACAAAAGTTAAGGATGAAGATTTCTTGTTCTGATATACTCCCTCTGTCCCATATTATTTGAATTTTGGAGATTTGTTCCAAATTATTTAGCATTAATCTAAATAATTTTCTACATTTTTTGTGCAAAAAATAATTATAATAATGTCAAGGGTATTTTAATAGTTTTCTATATTTTTTTATCATAATCTATATACATTTATTGATTTTCATAAAATGTGCGCAACAACTTGAAACGACATTTAAATTGGAATGGAGAGAGTATATAATTTCATTAGACTGACTTTTAAGTTGGCCTCGTAAATAAATGCAGATTGATCAGGAGTGGGACAGCGAAAGTGCGCAACAAAAAATTTATCAACATTCTATGGAAGAACGCGTTAAGTTTGACGAGGAGAAACTTGTCAACGTCAACAACATAAAAAGGCAAAGCCCGATAACAACCACGACATCAAGTGGATTTAGCAACGATTACATAGTGGTAAGACTTCAAAAACTCAGTTTTGTTGCATGCAATCTTGTTTAATAGGCCTCGTTTGGTTGGAGAGATTAGCCATAAATAATTTTCCTGATCGACTGGAAATATTATTTTATCATGGTTTTTCTTGCTTCTTTTCAGTGATATTATAATCATGCCGAATTAATCAACAACCCCAAACGTGACCTTATAACGTTAGAGTTTATTCTGAAATTATTCTCGAAAAAATTGAACATTTCAGTTAACAATCTTGGTGAAGGCTCAAGGAGTACTACAGTTGCCGCGTATAAAAAATAGTAACAATTTGAAAGAAGTTCTACGGAAGCTGGCGTACCTCCCAATTTCTAAAATTTTGGTTAGTTAATTGGAAAATTGCTGCTAGAATTTTTATTATTTTCATAGTCTCATTTTACATATATGTCTTAATTATATAAGTATGTATGTATAATTAATGTATGTACGTATATATGTATAATGTATGTACGTATATATGTATGCAGGAAGTTAAGATTATATGGAACCCGCAGATTGAAGACGACACTCTATCAGAAGAGGAACTTATTAGAAATTACCCATTATTGCGGCCTCTTCAATAAGTATGTGAAGTTTCTTCCGTTTCGATGGAGATTTATCGAACAATTTCGATATCAGTGTTGTTGGATTTGATTATCAATTTGGAAACAATTTAATTTTACTGTTTGAATGGCTAAGACGTGTCTGTTGATACTAAGGATGTGTTTAGGTAAGCTTATTTTAAATAACTGATACGTTACGTCAGATAAGTTATTTAAAGATTTGAATAATGCGCTTATAAATTTTTGAACATCTTAATTTTAAAATTAATTTTTAAATTATTTGGATAATGAGCTTGTAAGCTGTTTTTAGTTGTTATAACTTATAAGAATTAAATTATATTTTATTATGCCTTGGTAGATCTATAAAAAATAATGTACTGTACTAAGTAATTTAAGAATTATATTTATGCATTATTAGTTTATATATTAGATGGTGCTTCTTAAAAATTTTTAATGTGTACAAAATATTATTTAAGCGAGGTTATCAATTTATCGAGATTCTACTGCATAATTTTTAGGGTAAATTACAACCACCTCTGAGGTATGGTGAGGTTACGAAAAAAACCCCTTTTGTTTGGATAATTACATCTACTCCTTAACTATGATTTTTTTCTTACACCTCCACCCTTATGGTGTCAAATTCAACATAATCAACAAGATTTCGTGGAATGTGCTCTAATTTGTACTCTTTTTGTGTGAAAATACAGTTTCTGATGCACCTATATTTGATATAGACAAGTTAAAAACACATATTATGATTATCTTGCTTCAAAATGTGGAATTCAAATGGGATATAACGGTACAAAAGTGATAATATTCCATATAATCTAGAAGATTCCACTAAATTTGAAACCGCAAGGGTGGACGTGTAAGAAGATTTATAGTCGAGGGGTGGTTGTAATTACCCAAACAGGAGGGAGGTTTTCGTAATTTATCTATACCTCAGGGGTGGTTGTAATTTACCCTAATTTTTAAAATAAATAAGGATAAAAAAGGAAAAATAATTACTAATGTAGGGAAAATTACGGTTTTCATCCCTTAAGTTTGCACCGATATCATATTTGGTACCCATATTCACCAAAAAACACATTTGGTCCCTTGTGTTTCAATTATTTAACACTTTTGGTCATTTACGTCAATTTACCATTTGTTTGTCAGTTAAGACGGTCAAGCCAACACGTTTAATTCCATTAGTACTAAGGGAAAGTTGACGAAAATGACTAAAAGTGTTGATTTTTTTCAACATGAGCGATCAATGTGTTTTTAGAAAACATAGGGGACCAAATGGTAATAGGTGTAAACTAGAGGGATGCAAACTGTCTTTTCCCGAGTTCTTCATATCCTACAGAAATTTCAAAGTTACAAGTTTTACTTTTAAATGATGTCGTAATTAATGTTAGTAAATTTGTTGTAAAAACAAAAAATATTACTAATGTTAGCACTCCCTTCCATTTTAAATTAAGTGCATTTAAAGTTACAACATTATAGTATACGAAAAGATATCCAGGCTAACATTATATTATATAAAGTTACAACATTATAATATAAGAAAAAAATCGAGGATAAGTAACTATACATTACTGAGATTCTAAAATATATAAACATATGAAAAAAAATCCAAAGAGATACTTAATTTGAAATATTGAGTATTATACTATTATTAGTGCTAATATTATTTAGTTATTATATTTTCTTATTCTTTCATTGGATATATTTTTTTTTCCATAAGGCCAACTCAATTTCAGAGGTGCATTGAACAAATCTCTACACTTATACTGTTGTTCCCGATATATAAAACGGGTAGTGATTTAGTAAAATGATCAAATAAATTAGTCGAAATACGAAAAGATTAGCCGAGGCGAGAAAACTCTTTCCTTAAGACAATATTGCCCCGCTACGGTGCTTACGGTTATTTGGCAAGTGGCTCCCAAGATACAACGGCTAACTCGGCATATGAGCACTCCAAATCCCGAGTACAACGAACGTTACTTTGTGTCTCAAACTCTCGAATCAAATACGGAAGAAAATATTCTACGAAAAATATTTCCGGACTAAAGAAGGAAGAATTCCATAGAACAAAATTATAGAATTGAATTGATTTTTATGTTGTTATTAAATCAACCATGTGGAGTTTCTATTTACAAGTTTCCAATGGTTGTGATTAATAAACACAACCCTGAGGAAATTAAACAAAGTGAAGAGGTGTGGCCACACCTCTTCATATTGTCACACCTATTTGATCAAATAGGTGCCTAAAAATATTTTTTTATTTTCATTCAAAATATAATTTTATTTTATTAAATAAAATTCCCAACAATCCCCCACATGAATGAAATTAACGAAAAACGATGGATTCTATCGAGAGTTCAAGTGGAACTATTGCAATGGGGATAGGTAGCTTTTGGCTTGAACCTTCCTTAGCGGTATAGCATCGGATTTACTTGGCTAGTTAGTGACGCGATGTCTTGACTGCCAGCCATTTGTGTAAACCAAGACAATGATAACCACACAATAGTTTCCCCATTCATCATCAGTTCTCATGGTTGCGTCCATTTTGGCCCTGGAGCACATCTTGGATTCATAAGTGTTTGTCATTTTGAAGCGGCCCACACTTCTACACTTAGATAGGTGATGTCCTATTAAAGGTATCCTGCCAATACCTCACCTTTTGTCAAGGTTTTGGAATCATTAAAAGCTTTCGCATATCCTTTACCCTCTATGCAGGCAGCACTAATGTCTATCACGGGAATGAGTTGGAAATATATAATTCCATAGGAATATATACTCCTTAGTGCATCACTGAATTTTCCATAACTTAGTTGTCTCTTTTGAACCAGTTCTTGGGATCTCCAGTCATCATGGTTGGGTTTCCACTATAGAAATTCTTAATTTGTGGGTTTTGATCTCACTCCCCTAGACATGCAATATGTTTGATCTATTTAGTTGACTTTTAGTCGCGGATCCGCTATTAACCATTAATTTTCATAATCAATGTTATATTATTTCTTTTGAGATCAATTGCATAATGGTCTTATGTATACGAGTGTATCGATACTTGCCATTATACATGTCGTTTGTGCCCTTAACGTAACCGATTGGTTATCACAATTTATTCATAATTGTAGACACCGACTTAGTCCAACACGGAACATCCTCCAATAACTTTATGAAGTTTATTTAACTTCTTTTCTAACCTTATCTCAAGTTATATATTCGAATTCGACCATGAATCGAGCTATTCAATTTTGTTTGAGGATTTCCAAGATACATAATCTTAGTGGACTCATATATCCAATGTACTTTACTAATACAATTGGATATTTTCTTTAATGTAATCCATTTAAAGGCGATATTTAGATTACCTAAGAACCCTTATAATATCATTGAATGATTATTTATTTTGGAATTACATAATTACTAGTTTGCAATTCATTATGCTGCCAAACTATCCAAAAATATTTGTAATTGAACAATTGTTCATCATTTTTTTTTGCAAGGTAAAGACTTGGTCTTTAGATAACTAGATCAATTTTCTAGTAATGTATCAACATGAGACTTTCAATAAGACTATCTTTGTCTTAGTGACTTTAATTTATAAGATTACATCGTTTAGACCCTCGTCTTTTGACATCAAACATAATTTTATTTTTTTATTTTCAATATTTTCTCAACGTTCAAAATAATATCATGATCATTATCTCATGAATATAATGTCGTCTATAGACATATACTTCCATGTGCTTTTAATATAAACACACCGGTCACACTCGTTATTACGAGAATTATTTGATATCATAATTTTATCAAATATTACTTTTAACGGATTCCAATATCTTGTTATAAATAATCAAGATTTTTTCATAGTTGTTTAATTTACCTTTATAGGACCATCATTTTAATTCTTCTTTTGAATAGTCCATTTAAACATTAATGGTTTACTACTTGGAAGAAGACTAACTAACTTCCACATACATTCTTCCAATGCAGACAATATTTCATTAATTGTCTTTTGTTAATTCATTTTATAACTCATAAGTTATAAAATCAAATCAAAATCAAACGTATTGATTTTCTTTGCCATCTTGTTGTATCTTGGTTGTTCATCACTTTGATGATTTACCACTCACATAATTTAATTTGGTTGTTCATCACTTTGATGATTTACCACTTACAAAATTTATAAGTTTTCTTATTTAGAACTTATTTATTTTCTTATTTTACAATAAACCACGATATAATCAATTTGCATCAAGAGTGACTATCTCGTGCACAATCATTATAAATATATATTCAATATTTATCCACTTGATTATACTAGGCCTTATATTAACTTAGGTATTTTTTTATTTTATTTTTTTACCTTGGCCTAAACACCCCCACATTTCTAGATATTAATGTGGTTATGGCCTAAAGACCCCCACATTTCTAAATATTAATGTGGTTAGCTCGGGATATCTAATTTATGTGGTTAGGGCCTAAAGACCCCCACATTTCTAAATATTAATGTGGTTAACTAGGGATATCTAATTTCCCCCACAAATTCTAGAGTATGTATTCTAGAAGTTACCAATATGAAATCCATAAAAAAAAATTCATGAGTTTCAGTACTCATTTTTAATTTATTTGTCAAAGTTGACATTTTTCAACTTTCATTCACATAGCATTTAAATGCTTTGAAATCCTTATTTTTATTTTATTAATAAGGATACACAATGTAAAAAAAAAATACATTTCTTCTTTAGTTAGAAAAATATTTTGGATCACCAATATGATTTAATTACAAAGTATTGTTTTTCTTTCTCTCAAGAAAGCACAAAAAGAAAAATCTTCTCAAGATACTTAAATCTTGTCAACAATTAAGATAATAAGATTTCTTCTTTTTCCTCAAAAGAGAAAACTCGTCAAGATACTTAAATCTTGTCAATAAACAAGAGAATATTAATCTCTCCAAATGGTGGTTGATATCCACTATTCAATATTAAAGTTAGAATATACAAATTCTAATCTTAATCGTTCATAAT